TTGCTTTTCAATATCTTAAAGATGTCTTTTGAAGCAATCTGCTGGCCAATGCAGTATGTCATTTAATTTCTTGATTCTTGCTTCTGTGGCCATTGACTGTGGATCCAAGTAAAATGAAATCCTGGACAATTTCAATATTTATCCATTTATCATGATGGTGTTTACTTATCCATTTGTGAAGATTTTTGTTTTATGTTGAGGTGTAATCCATAATAAAGGCTGTAGTGTTTGATTTTCATCTGTAAGTCCTTCAAGTCTTCTGCATTTTCAGCAAGCAAGTGTGTGTCTTCTGCACATCACAGGTTGTTAATGAGTCTTCCTCCAATGCTGATGCCATGCTCTTCTTCATACAGTCCAGCTTCTTGGATTATCTGCTCAGCACACAGATTGAATAAGTATGACAAAAGGATGTAACCCTGACACAATTCTTTCTTGATTTTAAACCATGCAGTATTCCCTTGTTCTGTTCAAATGACAGCCTCCTGGTCTATGGACAAGTTCCTCATGAGTGCAATTAAGTGTTCTGGAATTCCCATTCTTTGCAATGTTATTCATAACTTCTTATGATCTACACAGATGAATGCCTTTGCATAGATAAACATCTTTCTGGTATTCTTTGTTTTCAGCCAAGATCCATCTGATATCAGCTATAAAATCTCTATTACATTTTATACCATAATCAATACTGTGGACATCCACACTCATTTCTTTGTCCTTTGTTTCCCTTTCTAACCTCTACCAGGAATGCAAGCTCATTGAGGGTAGGACCTACGATGATTTGACTTCTCTATCTCCACACATTCACCCTGTGCCTTGCATCTGACAGATGCAGACGTGGGATGTCATGAGAAGCACTTTGCCCAGCATCAAGTCATACACAGACAGAATATTGATTCCACTGATCACTCAGAGCACTAGTGGGACACCGGGCTCAGTCTGAGGCACTCCTTTTTATGATAAACACTGCCAAGCTAATGGGCAACAGACCAGTATGACTAGGATCATCTGCAGACCTAGGACATACCAGAAACTAGGAAGGTTCAGTTTAGGGGAAAAAAAGACCAACTGAGCTAGGATAGCACTTTTCACATATTTGAATCATTTTCATGTATAAAAGGGATCAAAAAGAATTGGAATAACTCCAGAAAAAAGGGCTATGTCCAATGGAGAAGGACATATCACTTCAAAATAAGAAAGAAGTTTTCAGATGAGAGCCATTCAACAAGGGGCAGTCAGCTTTGTTGATTAAATGACCTTCCAATGACCTGACATGCTGAAAGTCAGGAAAGTCACCTGGTAGAAAAGATGAAGGGAAGATGACCTACAATGAATAAAGCATCAAGCTACAAGAACTGTAAAGATTTCCTACAAATAAGGATAACAATATATGAATGGGCATGTGAGGAGGCTTAGCTTCTACCATCTCTTTTACCTTGCCTTCAATGGGTTTTATACAACATCAGCATTGTAATTTATATTCATTAGCATTATTATTTATTGGGTGCCCATAATCAAATATAAAATAAAGAAGGCAATGCTGTTTGTTTTTTCCAAAATAACTTAGAACAGATGGGAAGGATATACGTAAAATCAATATAAAAAGTAATGTTTTTGGTTAAGATGGAATTCATTTAAAAAGATATTTCATTATTTTAATATTTGAGTTTTGGTATTTAAAAGTACGCCATTCAATTCTCATGTAGCAGATGTGACTTTGGGCCAACCACTTTGGAGTCTGGTTTTATGAAACTGAAAAATAACCTTCTATAGCCCCACAATTCCACTCTTATTCAACTAAGAACAGTGGTCTTTCAACATTTTTATTTGTTATCTTAAGAGCATCTGGAAAAATGATAGTTTCTTCTTGATTTTTAAGTTGACTGTTAATTTTTTTAGGCATGAGTTAAATACTGAAATAATAATTATTGAGCAAAAAAAAGTAAGTATTATTGGAGTGCATCACTTCCTGAGGGGATAGATTATTTTTTCCTTTATTAACAGGCTCTTGTAAGTGTAGATGAATATTACTGATTACGGGAATGAGAGAGGTGAAGTATGACTCCATGCTGTATTCCTCTGGCAGATTAATCTTCCCTTAATACTGCTTGTTGGGTTACTCCTTATTGTCTATTATATAAAAGCTCTATTTCTATACAAGTATATACATGTGTGTATAATCAGTGAAAGTATACACAGCCAAACAATTTCTGTATATACAATTCAGTGACATTGGTTACATTCTTCAAGTTGTGCTAACTTTTTCTAAATTATTCCACCATCATTATCTTAAATGCACTGCCCCCTCAACTTCCCATTCAAACTTTTTATTTTTCAAGACCCTTGGTTGTTTGGCTTTACTTATTCAACAGTATCTCCCACTAGGAACTCTGTTCCAGTGAAGTTGCTGTGTCACTGTCTCCTCTAAATATCAGGGAGCTGTCTTCATGCTTCCTGTTCATCCCTGCAACGCCCTTATTCATGCTCTCCACCTCCACAAACCTCATCTGT